ATCAGGAGTGGCTCTAAGAGCAAAACATGCTTTAGGAGTAGTGCCTTCTGATGTATGTGGACCATTTGAAGTACCTTCACTTGGAGGAAACGAGTATTTTGTCTTTTGTGGATGAGTTCACAAGAATGACATGAGTAGAACTCATTAAGTTTAATTATGAGGTGTTTGCTAAGTTTCAAAAGTTCTAGGTGAAGGCTGAAAAACAAAATGGTCAAAAGTTAAAAATTCTCAGAACTGATGCTGGAAATGAGTACAACTCTACAGAGTTCAAGAATTTCCATGAGGAGAATGGAATTGAGCATAGGGCTACTGCCCCATACACTCAACAAAATTGTCTTGCTTAAAGAAGAAATATAACTTTGCATTATATGAGAAGGAACATGCTGAAGGAGAAGAAGCTTCCTCACACCTTGTGGGGAAAAGCTGTTGCCACTGCAACATATATGCTCAACAGGTGTCAAACCAAGAAGATAAAGGAATAATAATACACTCCTCAACACAATAGTCTTGCTGAAAGAAGAAATAAAAATTTGATATGAAAAAAAGCATGTTGAAGGAGAAGAAACTTCCTCACACCTTGTGGGGAGAAGCTGTTGCCACTACAACATATGTGCTTAACAAGTGTCCAACCAAGAAGCTGAAGGAAATTTTTCCTTTAGAGAAGTGGTGTAGAGATAAGCAAAATGTGATCCATCTGAAGGTGTTTGGTTTTATTTGTTACAAACATGTTCCAGATGCTAAAAGAAGGAAGTTGGATGACAGAAGCAAAGTCATGTTGCTTAAAGGGTACCATAGTACAAATGCTTATAAACTCTAATGTCATATCACTAACAACATTGAATTCAAAAGAGATTTTATTGTAAAAGAATCAGAAGCACAAGATTGGAACAAGTCTTAATCCAGCTCTGGTGCAGTGTTAACACCTGAGTTAACTTCTGAAGATATTTCAAATGCTTAAGGAGATTCTACTTCTAAAGATTAGTAAGAGTCTGAAGAGGACTCTGATGATTAAGAAGAGTTTGAAGGAAAATCTAACTCTGAAGGTGAATTTGATTCTGATCCAGATTCTAATGATGATCAAGACTATGATGGTAATCATGCCTTTAAAGGTGGCCATGCCTCTGAAGGTGGATCGGACTATGAAGGTAGTCCAACAACTGACATTGTTCCAGCATCTGAAGAAGATTATGAACAAGTTTAGAGACCATAAAGAATCAGACAAATACTAAGAAGATTTGCAGAGTTTGACATGTTGCAAGATATTGAGATAGTCTCTGAAGGGGAAGTCATCTAGTGTGTCATGTTGGTAGACTCTGAACCAGTTAGTACTGAAGAAGCTCTTAAGAAGAAAGGCTGGCTAAAGGCCATAAAAGAATAACTTAAGACTATAGAAAGAAACAAGACTTGGGAGCTGACTGAGCTTCTAAAGGACAAGAAATACATCTGTGTTAAATGGGTTTACAAGGTGAAACTAAATCCATATGGATCAATTGGAAAAACACAAAGTAAAGTTAGTAGCTAGAGGATTTCTTCATGAATATGGTTTAGACTACTTTGAAGTGTTTGCACCTGTAGTTAGACATGAAACAATTAGAATGATGATAGCTATAACTGCTAAAAGGAATTGGTCTCTGATACATTTAGATGTCAATTATGAATTTTTAATGGTCCTTTATAAGAGGGAGTTTATGTATCACAACCTCCTGGATTTTTTAAAAAGAATCAGGAAGAAATGATGTACAAGTTTCATAAAACCTTGTATGGACTGAAACAACATCCTAGAGCCTGGAATCTGAAAATTGATCTATTTATCAAGCTTCAAGGATTCAGAAAATGTGAGGTGGAGTATGGCGTTTATGTTCAACATACATATGATAGCAATATGATTTTGGCGTGTCTTTATGTTGATAACATATTACTAACAGGGAGCTGTTCAGACGAGATAGCTAAGTTCAATAAGGTGTTGATGAATGAGTTTGAGATGACTGATCTTGGAAATATGACATATTTTCTAGAAATGGAGATTATGTACTTTGATAAGGGTACAATCTTGCATCAGTTGAAGTATGAACTTGAGCTTTTAAAGAGATTTGAGCTAACAAATTACAAGTTTGTAATCACACCTACTGAAATAAATCATAAGTTGGATAATGATGTTGAGGGTGATGATGTAGATGCTATAATTTTTAAATAGTTGGTAGGCTCGTTGAGATATCTTCCTAATACCAGACTTGGCATTTTCTATGCAGCTGGAATGGTGTGTAGGTTTATGAACAAACCAAAGTGGTCACATTACCAAGCTATTGTCAGGATACTGAGGTATATTAAAGGGACTCTAAAGTATATGTAGTTTTGTTCCTCTTTGATGCTTAATCTGATTCAGAGCCGAAATACTATTTAGACTCTGATTGATGTGGAAACAGAGTTTACAAAAGAAATACTTATAAATATTTCTTCAAGTATCTGGGAGGTTCTATTTCTTGGTACTCCAAGAAGCAACAGTGGTTGCATTGTCAACTTGTGAAGCTGAGTACATTGCAGGTGCGTTGTTTGCTTATCAAGCTGTGTGGATTATGAACTTACTGCGAGGGCAAAACCTCATATATAAGATATGCTCGTTTCGATGATGTCAAAACTTAGCTTCATAGAAGAATCGATGTTGGGCATTATCACCATGTTGCATTTGCATACCTCGTTTCTCATGATTAAATTGCTTGCATAAAATATCTCGATTGTTGCATATAAATTTATCAAAATATGTGTCATATGAGTTAGACTTCATTGGTGTCATTTTCCATATCATAGATATCATCAAAAAGAGTCAAGAGTATAAAATTAGACATTTTTAGCAATTTCAGGTCTATGAGTCGACCAAAGTTCTATTCCGGTCGACTCACACTATGAGTCTATTTTGTGAATTTTCTTCGGGAGAGCTCGCGTCGACCCACCAGTCGACTCATACTGTTGGCATTTTAATTTGTCTAAAATTTCAAGCTATGCGTCGATGCATACCTTGTTCCGGTCGACGCATGGTTGTGTGAATTACACAAGTTTTTCATCTGGGTCAACTCAGGTCGATCCTGCACTTTGCATAGGTCGACCGCTCGTTGTTTTATGTCATTTTTCTATTATGTCTACTATTTTTGTAAAGTGGTTTTAGTGGTTATGACAGTTATGTTTGATATATAAGTTTATTTTCTTGTTTCAGTTCATAACATTGAGAAAAACAAGAAAAGTGAAATAGGCGTCGATTCGGTTCTCATCATCTCCATTCTCTTCATATCATACCACAACAATCACACATAATAATCTTTGTTGTGCATTGTGCATTGTTAGAGGTGATAACGTTCGAAGCCGAAGATTTGGTAATCCGGTCCGGGTTGAGGAATCGATAGGTTTTTCTTGAATAAAACCTCTAGGGTTTTGTCCTCCAAGATTCTCTGAATTTGGGGTTTTTTGCACGATTCGTCTCAACACATATTCAGCCGAGGGAAGGTAATCGAGGAGCGGTGGGTTCTATCGATTTAATAACGGTAAATGAAGGATTGTGAATGAGAGTTTCGGGTTCGACACGCGGGTGATTGAAATCAGCCGGGCCAGAATTTGAAAACTGAAGGTTGTTCAAAGATAGTGCCACAACCGGAGGTTTATTCATAAGCTGTTGAAGTACTTGATTCGACTCGAATCAACGAGCAAGTGTTCGTGTGTTTGATTGCTATTCACTTCTTATATAAACTTTCAACAACAGGTTTAATCTATATATTAACAGGGGTCAATTCTATTATTGGAATTGAGGGCAGACGTACTCCGAGCGAGGACGACGGGGGAACTGCCTCAACAAATCGTTGTGTCTTTTGCCTTACGTTTATATTGCTTAATATTTGTGGTTTTAGTGCAAACAATTATATCAATCTAGGTCTGGTTTGAGTAGTGCTAAACTGATTTTGAATCTAGTACAATCATTGATTGTACAAGGAAACTTGAGCAACTCACTCAAAGCGGAACTCACTTGTAGTGCTCTGCACGCCAAGTGTTTGATTGTTTGAACCAAACACCTTTTGTGTTGTCCTTTCATTGTGTTAATATTTTTAAAGCATTGGAACTAGTCACACCATATAGTGAGCTAAATCAAATTGATAGTGTGATTAAAGTAGTGATTCTCATATTTCGTTATCGAATTTCATAGGCTTAACACATATCCAATTTTCTAGTAACCGTTCGTTTTAGACGGTATAGTTCCTCGGCCGCTTCCGCAAATTAAACAATTTTTAAAAAACCAATTTTATTGGTAGCGCCGACTCTTTTAAGTAAGCGATCTATTCAACCCCCTTCTAAATCCACGCCATCGTCTAATACTTACTACGTAATCTGAAGATCAAGGTGAGCAAGCCTGTGAAGTTGATGATTGACAACAAAATAGTTATAAACAATGCCAATAATCCAATGCTGGATGGAAGAAGCAAGCAGATTGATACGAAGTTCTATTTTCTGTGAAACCAAATTCAAAATGAAGTTATAATCTTCATCTTCTTTTTCTTCTACACCAACATTTTGTAAACAAAAAATTACACTATCAACTTATACTTATTTTGGTCATCTATATACTGACTTGTCTTTAGATTTATATGAAATGTCAATTGACAAGTTTAAAAATGGTTAATTAATTGATTAGATTTAATTTAATATATAATAATTACCATGTTGTATTTATATTGTGTAGCGGATATGAAACCTCCTCTATGACTACTACCACGTCTCATATGTTCTATTTTATTGTTTTTTCTTTTTTTCTCTAGCTAGACATCGGTGGTAAAAGATTGCCAAAACTTACGTTCTTCTTTCCAAGTACATTTTGCATGCATATCGTATAAAATATAATAATTAACAAATATACATAATAAATTATTATATATATTATACACATATATATACATAAAATAAGTTCCAAAACCCTAATCAAAACCCTAACCAAAACCCTAGCTCCAAACTGTGAAGCTTCAATGGGGAAGACGAAAGCAAAGGGTAAACATCGTTTGGATACGTGGTATCACTTAGCCAAAGAATCCGGTTACAGATCCAGAGCATCATACAAACTCCTTCAAATCAATGCAAAGTTCGGTTTCCTCAGTTCCGCACGTGCCGTCCTCGATCTCTGCGCCGCTCCAGGAGGTTGGATGCAGGTGGCGGTGAAACATGTTCCCCACGGCAACCTTGTCATCGGAGTTGACCTTGCCCCCATCGCTCCCATGATTAGAGCCACCGCTATTCAGGAGGATATCACGAAACCCGAGTGCAAGTCACGAATTAAGAAAATCATGAACCAAAATGGTTGTACTGTTTTTGATGTTATTCTTCATGATGGTTCACCGAATATTGGTGGAGCTTGGGCTCAAGAAGCTACGAGTCAGAATGCTCTTGTTATTGACTCCGTTAAGTTGGCTACATGTTTTTTAGCAGCTAAGGGCACTTTTGTCACCAAGGTTTTCCGGTCGCAGGATTACAGTGCCGTTGTGTATTGTTTGAAGCAGTTGTTTGAAAAGGTTGAGGTGGTTAAACCGATTGCGAGTCGATCGGAATCTGCTGAGATATATCTTGTGGGGCTTAAGTACAAGGCCCCTGCTAAGATTGATCCTCGCCTTCTTGATTACAAGCATCTTTTTCAGGCATCTGCTCAACCGCAAGCCAAGGTGGTGGATGTGCTTAGAGACAATAATAAGCGAAAGCGGCATCGTGATGGATATGAAGATGGAAACACAACTTTGAGGAAGGTTTCTTCAGCTGCAAGTTTTATTTGGTCAGATGCTCCTCTGGAGATTCTTGGTTCAGTTACTTCTATAACCTTTACAGATCCAGGTGATTTACTAATCAAGGATCACAAACTAACTACTGAAGAGGTGAAATCTCTATGTGAAGATTTGAGAGTTTTGGGGAAGCAAGACTTTAAGCATCTTTTAAAGTGGAGGATTCACATTAGAAAAGCGTCTAAAAAGACGGAACCTTCTTCTACAAGTGTGGTAGAAAGTGTGCATGAGGTGGATGAAGATGATAGACTACTCAACGAAATGGAGGAACTGACAAATGCATTGGACCGCAAGAAGAAACGCGAAAAAAAGATTCTAGCGAGAAGTAGAGCTAAGGACAAGGTGCGGATGCAAATGGATGCAGTAGAAGATTATGTTGATCACGAGTTGTTTTCCCTTGCCTCCATGAAGGATAAGAAGGATCTGGTAGCTGTTGACACCACTGACTATGAAGGGGATGACAGTGAGAATGAAGAAAACAAAGATGGCTCAGTGCATTCATCTAGTGACTTAGATTCTGATGAAGAACGTAAAAGATATGATGAACAAATGGAAGATGTATTTGAACAAGCTTATGAGAGTTTTGTGATAAAAAAGAAAGGCACTGCAAGGCAGAGTAAGCTTATTAAAAAATCCTATGATGTAGACTCCCAACTTTTGGAGGCTGATGAGAATGATGACATGTTTCAGTCCAATTATGATCCGGATGAAGATCATGGTGTTCAAGAAGCAAACCCTTTGATGGTGCCCCTTAATGACGGGACAACTCTCACCCAAGAGGAGGTCACAAATGCATGGTTTAATCAAGATGTATTTGCTGAAGCTGTTGAGAAGGATGACAGTGAAAATGAAATGGATATTGATGGTCCGAAGGAGAAGATGCCCGTTAAATCGGCTTCTTCTACGGAAATGGATTATGAAATTGTTCCTCAATCTGATACTGATACAGATTCAGACGAGTCATCGTTCTTTGACGTTGAAACAAACGCAGAGATATTGGCATATGGTAATAAGATGCAGAGGAAAGAGCATAGGGAAGAGATACTAGATGATGCATATAATAGGCACATGTTTGATGATGAAAGCTGGCCCAAGTGGTTTCTAGATGAGGAAAGGAAACACCATCAACCAGAAAAGCCTATCACGAAAGAGGAAGTTGCGGCAATGAAAACAAAATTTAAAGCAATAGATGCCCGGCCTGCAAAGAAGGTTGCTGAGGCGAAAGCCCGAAAGAAGCTTGTTGCAATGAGGAAGCTTGAGAAAGTACGTAAGAAGGCCAATGTTATATCAGATCAGGCAGACATATCTGAACGCTCAAAGAGTAAGCAAATTGATAGATTATATAAAAAAGCTGCTGCAAAAAGGCCTCAAAAGGAGTATTTAGTTGCAAAGAAAGGTGTCCAAGTTAAGACTGGCAAGGGAAAGGTTCTTGTTGATCGCAGGATGAAGAAGGACGCGAGGAAAAGTGGAATGGGTAAGGCAGAAAAAAGAGGTTCCAAGGTAAAGGGTGGGGAGGTTCCAAAGGGAAAAAGATTTTCAAAAGGCTGTGCAAAGAAGGGAAGAAAATAAATGAAAGTTGGTTGGTGTTTAATTTCAGGCACCAGTGTGTTTACTTTTCCTGCTAAATTTTGTAATCTTTTTTTTTTCTCTGTTTGTCTGTTATTTTGCTTTAGATGATATATAAATTAAAGAATAGTGTTTTTCTTTGTTGCTCATTAAGGCGATTCAATATATATATATATATATATATATATATATATATATATATATATATATATATATATATATATATATATATATATATATATATATATGCTCTAATAGGTTGATAGAAGTTACGGTAATTTCTATTTAGAAAATGAAAACACAATTACTAAAATTTTAAATATATAACTTATAAATACTCTTATTAAACAGAGATTATTTCCACTGCATCCAAAACTACGAACCCGAACTTACAACCGTCAACCATCTTCCTTGACATGTTGACAATCTGTGAAACGAAAAACTCATCTTACACTTTCACAGTTCACTTCACAGAGAAATCACAAGAAACTCATACCAATCAATGTCACTCTCTTTCTCTTCAACCTCCCTATCATTCTCCGAATCTTCATTTTCACTCCCAAAACCAACCCATCAATGCTCAAATTTCCACACAATCACGGTATTTATGATTTCTATTTTTTCTTTCCTTTTCGAAATTCATGATCTCAAATATGAATCTGAACTTGAAATTTCTCTTGTCAATTGTCACAGTATGCATCAAACAGTTTTCGTTCAGTAACAAGCGTTGGAGGTTCTACTTTCTGTAGAAGATTTCGTGGTTTGAAACTTTGGATACTTGATAGACTCAATTTTCAACCGTTGAAGCAACCTAACTGTAGAAATCACTTCAATAATGATATGGAAACTGAAGGATCGGTTTCTGATTCGTCTCATGTACCTGATGCTGGTGTGTTCACTTTTAATTGATTAATTAGTTAAATCTTCTTTTCTCTTAATGTTTTAAAATTTTGAAGTGTTTCTTATTTTGGAATTTCGTACTGATTATAGTTTATATGTTTAAGAGATTGAGGCCATGATTGGATAGAGAGCTTAATTAAGCACTTTTAACAAAAGAGCTTAATTAAGCACTTTTAGCATAAGCATTTTTGTGCTAGTTTTCATATAAAGTTGGATTGTTTTCATATAAGCTGTAAGTTGTTTTCAACAACTATTTTGGAGAGCTTATGGACATAGGGCCTGTTTGGATCGTTTTCAAGAACTTATTTGCACCTTATAGCACAAGTTTTTATCAAAATAAGCGCTTATGAATAAACTTGTGTAAGTTAATATTATAACAAAAACTAAAATTATTTAAATAATTTTTATATAACTTATTAGCTGTTTTTATAAGCTATATTAGAGAACTTATGAAAATAAGCTAAAAAAAGTCGATGAAAAATGTCGTAAGCTGTTTTAGTAAAGTCTTCCAAACAGTGTCACAAAACTTATGACAGTAGATGAACTTAAATAAGTCAATTCAAACAGGTCCATAAGCTTAAAACAACTCATAAATATGTTTTCGTAAACAATCTCTCAACTACTTGTATTAGGCGATAAGCTCGAGAAAGGCAATCCAAATGGACCGTAGTTTCTATGGACAGGATGCACACATTTTTTTACACATGCATACAATCAAATATAACTGCTGCCACTTTTTATATTTGTTTTTGTTCTTAAAGTTCTTCGTGAAATCTATACGGGTGAGATATGCATGTCTAAAGAAAATGTTATTAGATGGGAGAAAATGAGTTGTCTTGTTAAAATTTAACTTAGCTCACTTTTGATCCTAATTTTTTCACAGATAGTAAGGTCACTTCTTCCACGGAGTCTCCATCTTTGCTGCAAACGATTCCCTTAACCGCTCCCATTGATATCGGTAAAGAACCTTCACTTTGTATTGCAGTCATAGGAGCCACCGGTGAGCTTGCAAGGGGGAAGATTTTTCCAGCTTTATTTGCCCTCTACTATAGTGGCTTTCTTCCCGAGGTACAATACAACAGATTTTCTTGATTTTTATTTCTTTTATGTTTGGTTTGGCGTTGATGTCAATTTTTTCGCATTTCAAAGCAATTTTAACGTGGAAATAAAGAAAAGCTACTAATTGTAGCTTTTGGTCAGACACACATATTTTACGAATCCAACGCGAAAACTACACTCGCTTCCTCGACTTAAGAGTTCTCTTGCGTGCATGCATATCAAAAACTCACTTCATTTGTTGAGACTTACTACGCATATCCAAAAATCACTTTAGACTGAAGTGAATCACATTAGGTTCTGGCGTATGTTATTCCTTTTTTTTTTTTTGTATCATTATTGGAACATAATAGTAATACATAATGATGTTCCTAGTGAATGTTTCCCTGTTCGATTTTAATATATTGACTTTGCATTGTATATCTGCAGAATGTAGCCATTTTTGGGTATTCAAGGAAGAATATAACTGACGAAGACCTACGGTCCATTATAGCTTCAACATTAACATGCAGAGTTGATCATCAGTACGATTTTCTTTTCAGTTCCCAAATTACTACCTTATATATATACTGTTCCATTCATAGAAAAAATCTCTAATATTCTGTACTGAATCTTACAGCTGATAAAATCTATAAACAAATTTACTCTTACATACATTTATAGGTGCCTAAATACCCAATTTCAAATTCGTAATTAGTTTGTTTCATTTCATTTAAAACGGAAAGTTGTACAGCTTCCTGGTTTGAAAAAGAATTAATGAAGTCCATCTTCATTTCCCCTTGTACTGGGTGAATATAAAAAATTCCAATTTCAGACAGGATTGTGGGGACAAATTAGAAGCTTTCCTTGACAGAACACACTACATCAATGGAGGTTATGACAACAAACATGGGATGTCCTTATTAAAAGCCAGGATGGAGCAGATTGAGGTAACTTTGAACAAATATCACTAATTCACTAGTATGTATAAAAGTAGTGCTTTTCTTCTCAAACGAGTTCCTGTAGTGTAAACTCTTTATAAGCTGCGGGCCCTTTGATATTTGATTCTACTACAGCTTATTATCTACCTCAGGGAAGATCCAAAGCCAACAGGATTTTCTACCTTTCTGTGCCACAAGAAGCACTTTTGGATGTTGCTTCATGTCTTGCAAGCAGTGCTCAGACCCAAAACGGATGGAATCGCATAATAATTGAGAAGCCATTTGGGTTTGACGCTCTCTCTTCACAAAGGCTCTCACAATATCTTCTCTCGAAGTTTGAGGAAAAGCAACTATATAGGTATTTATTCTTTACTCTCCCATATTCAACCTTATGCTCATGCATGAAGACACAAATTGGCACGTACCTGGTCGATTTGGTTCAGTATTTAGGAGAATAAATCGAACCAATGAAAAATATTATGTTTGGATGAATCATTTAGGCACACAGAAATATTGTTCACAAACTGATGGTTCTTATCAATCTGCTGTCAGGATTGATCATCTCCTAGGAAGGAATCTTATTGAAAATCTAACAGTTCTAAGGTTTGCCAATTTAGTTTTTGAGCCTCTATGGAGTCGAACTTACATAGACAATGTGCAGGTTAGCCTCCCTAGTTTAATCTGATTGGCACCCCTTAATTTTTAAGCTTCAATGAAAATCCAAATGTCTATTCTGAGATTTAATGTTTGTAGGTCATTTTATCAGAGGACTTGGCTGTGCATCCAGGAAGGTGATCATAGTGGTTGGATTGTCATTTGAGTAAAAATATAATGCAATGTATCATTATGTATTTGCTTGTAATATGATTTCAGCTTGGTTCTTTGTTAATCATGCAGGTATTTCGGTGGCTATGGGATTATCCGTGATATTGTTCACAGCCATATCCTCCAAACAATTGCATTGCTTGCTATGGAACCACCAGTTAGCCTTGATGGAGAAGATATTCGAAATGAAAAGGTACACATACAGATTTAAAACTCTATAGCATACATAGTGATGATATGGCTTAAACAACATACTGAGTTTAACAAGTAATAACGTTTATACAAAGCATCATTGCCATGAAAATTGATTTTATGTATCGAAGCCGTTTGGATAAATGTGAATGGATTAACGGGGTTCTATTGGAATGAAAGTAAACAATTGGAAGTAATACTTGTTTTTTTTTCTTGTATAACGTAAAATGAATGACAAAACAAAAAAACAGTAGACAAAATACTAAACAACGAGATAGGTTTGGTTTTGTTTATTTATCCTTTGAAAAGTCAAATTTAATCCTTCAAGCTCTTAACTTTTAAAGGGTAGTTGAATTTCTAGTTTTAAGTCAATAACAGATTTCACTAGTACATTAATCTTTTTTTTATTAAGTTAGGATGATCTAATTCCTTCGATTAATCTTAATTGACAAAGGCTTGAACGAGTAAGATTGGATTTAGGAAAGACCAGGCATAGCAATCATGTATTCCTGGATCTATGCTAGTCATGGGGATTATGCCATGCATTATTATATAATTTACCAATTGTAAATACATCAACCAATTATTTCATGAATAATTGCTTCACAAAAAAACATTAAGCCGTGATCATTTGATTAGAGAAGAAGCTTGAATTTACTTCAAATATGAGTTACGATAATTCAGAACTTAGATCCATCTTGACTCTAGCTAGAGAATTTTAGCTAAAACATGATTAAAGAAAAAAGAAGGAAAATAAGCTAATTCCATGGTTAAATTGTATAGAAAATGAAGATAGTTAGGATTCCTCCTTTCCAATTAAACTACATAATACTTCCTTTATAGTCTGCTCATCTTCTGATCCATACTGTCTTTTAAATCTTTCTCTTCATCCTTCCGTCCTTTTATACACTCAGACAAAAATAACTATCACAGTTTAGGTTGTGAAATTCCAGCATTCAAGTGTTGATGGCCCTGTGGTAGACCTTGAAGCATGCAGGCATTGCACGCACGTGTCAGTACTCAGGTGCTGACTAACCAACTTCTCATCTAGGGGCTGGTTATCCCAAGTTATTTTCCTTTCTTCCAGTGTGCAATAGGTGCTGGCACTCAAGTGCTAAAACCATAGTGAAATTTTTAGTGAATTATGAATTCTAGTAATTCATCTCCTTCATGTATTAACTACATTAAGGTACGAACAACAAATGCATAAATAAGTTCTATATATAATTGTTGTTAAGGACAACTTCTTATGATATTAGGGTGGTTTGTTACAAATGACGCTTACAGATGCATGATTTCCACTTTATATCACCAAGTAGGGCTTATAATTATTAATTAGCTTCTTTCCAGGTCAAGGTTTTAAGATCAATTCGCAAATTGGAGCCTAAGGATGTCATTCTTGGCCAATATAAAGCAAGTAGCAAAGACAAAGTTGATAAGTGCTTAGATGGTCCTACACCTACTTATTTCGCTGCTGCATTATACATTGACAATGCACGATGGGATGGTGTACCATTTTTGGTCAAAACAGGCCTGGGACTCATCAAACACCAGTAAAAAAACATTATTGTTTTTTTGTCAATTTTATTTATATACATATTTTATGTTCTAGATAAAATATTTAGATTTCATGGTACGACTATCCCTGTTCCGGTAATTTCTTCTTACTTCTGAGTTTAGGTCTTCTAGTCCGGGAGTGTACCAAGAGTGTAATTGATACAAATTTTTATTAATGCAGAATGGAGATACGAATTCAGTTTCGACCTGTTCCAGGAAATGTTTATCATGACTGCATCGGGCACAATACTGACCGTGCCACAAATGAGCTCATTCTTCGTGATGTTCCTGATGAAGCTATTCTTGTGAGAGTCAACAACAAGGTTCCCGGGTTAGGCTTACAACTGGACTCTTCAGAATTGAATTTGCTTTACAAGGACAAGTAAGCACTACCATGCATTGGATTACCTTTGTACCGTAGTTCGACCAAATGTTTCTAACCGGCATGTTTGGATTTGTATAAGAGTATAATTTATTTACGTGCTACTTTTTCATTAATGTACTAAGGTACAACGCTGAGGTGCCGGATTCATATGAGCATCTTCTGCTTGATGTCATTGATGGGGATAACCATCTGTTTATGAGGAGCGATGAACTTGCAGCTGCGTGGAACATTCTAACTCCAATCATGAATGAGATAGACAAGAACAACATATCAGTGGAGCTTTATGAGTTGGGCGGTCGCGGTCCAGTCGGGGCATACTACCTCTGGGCAAAGCAAGGCGTCCGGTGGGTAGAAAGCTAGCATTTCTCTCTATTTCTTCCTTAAACTTGTTACTGTCTTTTATTTATTTTACCTGCCCATAATGACTATACCACCAAGGCTGTGTCAGTATTTTGTAATGTACCTCTAACATATAACTGCCCTCATATAAATTTAGCACCTATTTGATCTTGAGAACTAAAGTTTTTGGCTTATGGGAGAATAAATGAAGAAAATAGACAATAAAAAGCAAAGAGATGAACTCCAAACAAATTGTATTCTCGTCTTTTAGATTTCGAGGAGTTTCAAAACACGGGATGTTAGAAGGATCATCTTTTCTAACGTTGTGCTAAAAATCCTATAGATGTCTGATTGCAAGGACGCTAGTTCGAACTCGTGACATTATTTACAGAAATATCTAATTGTAAGTGGCTTAGTTGTAATTCAATATAGTAGATATAGTTGTATCTCTTATTCTACATTTTTGTGGAAAAATAGAAGATGATGATGATGGTGGTGTTGGCACATGGATAATGTCATCATCATTGGTTCCACTCCATTGTACATAGGGACCACAGCTATCAGCATCATCAGCATCTTGAGTTGTCGTTGCTTCTGTCCTCCGTACCTATATCACGTGCTACCACAAATCTGACAATTCTATGAAGAATAAATTGTGTCCATTCTTCCTCACCATAATTAGTTGATTACCATAATAACTGTAATTATTAGTATCATTCAAAGCCACCTTTAGTTAACTATTTGAATTTCTTTTTACCATAATAACTATATTTTGACCTAATATTATTCAAACTAGCCATATTTTCATCATAATATCCAATTTTCAAATAAAAAAATTTACACGTGCAAGAAGGCGTCAATAGAATTGGAGTTTTTTTTTAAACTTCTGAAGTTATAAAGGGGTGTCAATAAGATTAGTACAAATCTTTTAAATATAATCATTGGTTTTGTTTGGTCGCATAGACTTGAAGTTGGTCTCTATTGATGCAATATTAAATTAACCGGCTTGAAGTTGGTCTCTACTAATGCAATATTAAATTAACGATGAAAAACTATAAAGATTTCAATCTAATAATGATATTGTGTTGCACACTAATGATTGATTAAGGCTTAAATTTAATTGATACTTAGAGTCTCTTTGATAAGACAAGAAAAGAATTTTTAGTTTATAATTTTTAGCTTTTCAACTCATTTTAATTAAAAAATTATATTTGATAATTATCTTTTAGCTTTTAGTTTATAATTTTTTAGTTAATTTTTAATTTTTTTCAAATGCTATTTAACATAGCTTTTAGTTTTTTTTTTTTAAAAATGTTATAGAAGATTTTTATTATATTTCTCTATTTTATTAGATATTATTTTTATTTATTAAATATAAATTACATAATTAATTTATAAATAATGTTTATAATTCTCAAGTTAGAAGAATTAATGAAATCAACAAAAGTGAAGAAAATTCAAAATATTATTATAGTTTTATTGTAAAATATTAGACAATAAACTTATTTTTTATTATTATTTTAGATTAATATAATTAAATTCAAAATTACAATGTTATTATTTCACGTATTTTATTAAATTTTATTATAAAATAAAAAAAACTATATTTTACGAAAAAATGATAGTTATTTTATGTCCTCATAAATAACTTTATAAATTACCTCGGCTCGTATATGGATTACTGATTTTTTTTATTCATTTAATTTCGTTGTCAATATATTCATACTAAATAGCAAAATTCATAAAACTTATATACAAATTTATATATTTTGATGATATCTTCAATTTTTCATATATATTAAAATTATTTTACATGTTGTTATTAATACATTTATTTTTATCGAATAAAATTTAATAATATAATATAATAATAAAATTACAAATTTTTTAATTAAAAATATCATTTTAAATTATTTTATAATTATCCGTTAATATAATTAATATAACAGTTAATTTAACAAACACTCAAATTAATTTATTAATAATAAAGTCACCAATTATAAACTATTAGCTATACCTGCTATAAGTTAATTTTACTAATCAGAACCTTAAATAAGGTTTTGTGGGGTCCATATAAGGTATGGTAACTTACACCTATACCTAATGTATCCTCTTGAGTGGAACTATCTACCGGCAAGATGCTGCAAATATTAGACAATCTTTTTAAAGTGGAAGAAAATATTGCGTAAAGGGTATGACGAGAGATGATGAATTAATCTTCTGAACTTACTATTCTACCCTTCTTTTCATTACTATTTTTCACCCTCATGTGGACATATTTGTCAATCCAATAACCTGCAATCAAACGCGGTATTGAGTATTGACCTATGTTGTTGATAGTCAATAATATGGTTTTGGTTCATTGAACTCAAATAAGCACTCTCATAGTTGATTTGTTGACGTGGCAATTTCAATTTAATTTGATAGCCAAATGATTATAATTTTATTATTTAAAGATAAATGAAATGCCGAGGATTTGAATTCAAAATTATATAGTTGTATTTTTGTGGTACAAATATCAACTCAACTGATTTAATAAACATGTGAAATATCATAAATTTAATTCTGTATATCTGTATATAATTATGAACTGAGTTAGATATTTACAATTTTTTTTGTCATATGCAATTTTCTTTTTAGTTGTTAGTAATTATACATAATATTTATATAGAGGGTCATTTATTCTTTTTTTTCTCAACACGGCAAATATAAATAAATCAAATATATAGTCATAGTGTGTTAAGTCATTAATTGAGGAGCATGGAAGGAGAAAGAAGGAAGAGAAAAATATTGGAAGAGGAAGAAGAAGAAAACGATGATGAGAAAATGGAGAAGTTCTTTGCTTTGATAAAGAGCACAAGAGATCTACTATCTAAACCAGATAAGAAAGTTGATGAAGGAAAAAAGGAAAAGGGTATTTGGAATCCAACGTTTCAAATAGAAGATTTCATTGGTTGTGAAGAGATAGGAAAAAGTAATAATGTTTCTTTTTCAGTTACTCATCATCATGGTAAAGCTGGTTCATCTTCAGAGAAAGAAAGAGAGGTTTTGATGATAGTTGAGAAGGAATGTGTGGAAGAAGCAGCGGCAACAACTTTAGAAGACCAAAATGAAGAGAAAGAGAAAACAAGTGATAATGGTTTAGATTTGAATCTTTCTTTGTAATAACACCATACTATATGATGGATTGATTTGTATGTAACATCACCATTTAAGATCCAATTTATGTCTGATATCCGACACTTATACTTATATTCAATAACCTTAAAATTTCAAATTAGTATAGGTGTTTATAATGATTTATTACTTGAATTTTCTTATATTTAACCTTAAAATTTCAAATTAATAGAGGTGTCAGTAATGACTTATTACTTGAATTAGGTAAACTCTAAAATCAAAGAAAAAACTAAAAATGACAACTAAAATATAAGAAAAAATATAAAAAATCAAAGAAAAAAGTAAAAATGAGAACTAAAATATAAGAAAAAATATAAAAAATCAAATTCATATTTAAATTGTTTTTGATTGATGCATTTGATAATAGAGAACTCAAATACTTTCTATAACTTTTGGACTTCTTTTTTTATAAAACTACTTCATGAATTTTTATAATGTTTTCATCAATAATTATAATTTAAATAAGCGTTCACATCAATCATAAAGAATATACTTATTTTAAAACTATCATATTCTAAGAGAAAAATCAAGTTTGAAAACTTATGGTGTAACTAGGAAGTTCATTTTCAAACTTTTTTTCTTCTTTTTGTGACATTGTTGTTAGTTGAGAAGATTCAAATCCTATTAATTAGTCATTTCTAATGTTGACAGCATAGATTTGCAGTATTTTAATGAAATGTTGAAAATCTAAGTGAAATACTAGTATAAAAACTAAACACGTTTTTTAATCCCTACAAAACATTCTCATTTTAACTTCCATTCTACTATTGTTTTATAAAATATTAATCCTCCACTTATTAACCATTTCTACATTTAATCCCAGTTTTTTTTTAATGAATGTGTAAACAATGTAACCTATACTATAGTCTAATATTCAGAAGTGAATCAAGTGAGATTTCACATGTTCCAAACATTGCAATCGAATTTTCCCAGTGAATTAACCTTGATCAGTAAATTTTTGCTTTCACAGTTCATAATAAATTGACATTAGTGGCATAGCCAAAAATGCATCATCTTTTTCTCATCCAGTGTTTACATAATACAACATCAAATACTGTCTTTTACAACATGAGCCAAACTTCAATTACACACTTGAATGCTCCTGGCTTTTTAGAGCTTCAGCATGAGCATGACCAAATGACAAAACGTTCTTGGAGAACTACACATATAGTAATACAACAACAAATGAACTAAAAGTAAATTCACTGTTTTGCATCCTTGTAATGTGCATACTATAATCACCGTCAGATATCAGTGCCTGCAGAAGAAACCAAAAGGTAACCGTGGCGTGGAATAAGCTGTCGAAAGTATTTTAGAAGCTATCCATGTATTTGCAGCCTCGGTGTAATGGATTCCATCCCAACTCACAAGACGAGATCCTTCATCGCAAACCTGATAACCAGGTTGACCACATGTTACTCTTACGTCGAAATTATAAGGTGGTCCTCCATAGCCGCAGCATACCAGCAACGGATTCGAGAAACCTATTTCATAGTGTATCAACAAACTGCATCAGTCATATGATAGTAATAACATGCGGCAATATTGAAAAGCATTTTTACGTGTACACATCAAATGGAAACATGAACTAAAACAAGCACGGTGTTTGTTCGGATTACCATATTTGGTGGCATTTGCGATGAGATCATTCTTAATGGCATAAATATCAACATAGACTAGGGTAGCATCCTTCAATTCCGTTCTTAGTTTCTGACTCGAATGATACAGTGCTTCGTTAAACAATCTTGCAGCAGAATTATAACTAGAAATACATCCCAATGAATCAAGGTCTTTTTTGTCAGACATTGCAATAAATTTAGGAAGACAGCCAAAGGGTCCGGTATTGTGAAGCCAAAATTTCCTGCCACCTTCATTATACAAACTCTGCATACAGACAGATGAACCAAACATCAAAATCCATAAAGAACAATTAAACCATGGAGAAACAATATCCAGATTTTTTGAACAAAGATGCACGAGAATAAATATGAACATATATTATAAAAGCACATGAAAAATCATGTTTGCAGTATCCTAAGCAAAAAGAACATATAAAGGAGATGATCAAGTTCGGTCAACCGTTTATATAGAACACCGAACGAACCTTAACAGCCTTCTCAATTTCAGTGATAATTGTTGGGATCTTCTTGATGACTTGCACATATGATAAATTTTTGGTAAATGAATCAGCAAGGTCATTTTGCCCAATATCAATCAAGTAAAGTGCATCGCGGAAGCCTTCTTCGGTGATCCTATTTTTTGTACCTAAAAGTTTGCAGTGCAATCAGTTTGTTCTTAGATTCACATAAACTAGATTTAAATAATTTCACAGTTTTACTAGCATAGTTACATGTTCGCGATAACAGTAATTATATATCATTAATCGGATCAGAAGTTAAAATGAAACAAATCCGATATCTAATTCACATCACTACATACTAGAGGAAAAGGAATGTGGCAATCAAATATTTCAAACTAGGACAGTAAGAAAATGTATCTACCAGAGGTAGCGAGTTGAAGGCTACGAGATTTGAAATGCTGGAACTGCATGACCTGTATATTTAAAGCGAAAGGAACATATTTAGGGAGGGTAGAGGATCCCACTACAGCAAAGTTCGCTCCATTTGTGAATGTTGATCCAGACAAGGAGTCCAAGTATGGTGTCAAAAATCTTGTATTCAAACTTTGGCCTGCCAAAGATTGGACGAAAATTATTTTCAGATTTAAGGTTAGTAGTAATAATAAGACTGGATATAAGATTGAAATAGGAAGAAGAAGAAGAAAGAACTTACAGAGAAAATCGATGATTAGTCGTCCATCGGACAAACGACCAGTGGATCTGTGAAAGAAAGTGCGACCATTGGGAAGATTGACGGGGAAACCGAGTCCAGAAACGAGTCCACCCGTGTCCGAGTTGGAATCGCCGAACACGAATAGAATCGCAGGTTTATTGCATCCACCACTCAATGTAACAGCAGAAGAAGAAGAGAAGATGCATATCCAGAATAGCAGTGAGATTGAGAATGGCACACTCAAACTCATACTGTAGTCTAATGTCGGTTCTCACTCGCTACTTCTACGCTTTTGTATACTCTTTTGTTTCTCTCTGTCTTCAAAATAATAATGATATAAGGGCGAAAGTATTTGTTATGAAATTTAAAAAAACGATTTTTTTATGCAAAATACTTACAAAATTAAGATGTCAAATATTTCAAATTCTAAAACTCAAATTTCGAATGGTTCATTTGTTTGCTTTGCATTTTATCTAGAATTCTTATGAATGTATTAGCTTATTTATTGGTAAGAACATTAATACTTTTATTACAATTATAGAAAACTAATACTAAACATTCATTTGAATTAGGATCTTCTTCAAAATTCAACATAATATTTTTTAAAGTATTTATAAGGCTTTCTTTTAATTCTTCAAAAATATTTAAATAACTAATTTGATTGATTTTTTTCTTAACATTAAACTTGTTAAAATAATGTCAAAAGGAGACACATTTAAAGCATTTAATATCTTTGTCTTTAGATTTACTATTATAGAATTTCTTTTATATGATTTTTTTTGTATAGTAATTCTTTTTATAACATATTACTTGATTATTTTTTTAAGACTCTATATAAAATAAGAAATCTTCATTCATTTACTAACAATTTTCTTATTCTTAGAATTACTAGGTGCTCTCAAAGAGCAAATTCATATTATTCACAAAATGATCTCATTTCTCATTTGTTATTAACCTTTTTATTTTTAATTTTGTTTTGTAATTTATAATCAAATACTAATTTCTGTAATCTATTATTAATCTATTACAATTAAATTGTATGAACTTTTAAAATTACTCTTTCATTATAAATTATTTATACAAAGAAAAAGATATTTTAGTAATCAAGTAATGTTTATTTTTTTTCATTCACCATCTCGTATTACATCATAACAAGTGACATTCATTTATCAATCTCTATCAATTAAATCATAATTAAATATTATATACATTTATTCTCTCTTTTCATTCAAATTTCAAATTTTTCTCATATTTTTTTTCTCATACTTTCTCACTTTCATTTTAATTTTTTTTATTTATTTATTATCACTAAAAATATTAATAATTTATTTTTTAATTTTAATAAAATAGTACTGTATATTTATCTTACGGGTCACTATCAATATAATATTTATTTTATTTTAATCAACCAGTATCTTAATTTGAGAGTAAAATTCTTATTTTTAAATATTTCTTTCTTTTTCTATCTCACGATTCTGTTTATTTTAATAATTTTTATATAATTATTTAATACAATTAAATTTACATGATTAATGTTCATTTTACAATTAAATAAATCATTTTAAATTTTACATTTGTACTAAATACATTTATATTGCATCAAATAATTTTTTTATCTCACAGATCATTATCGCATCAAAATTTTCTTTTTTGACTTTTTTTCATCTCACGAGTCATTTTTTTTCTTTTTGCATGATTATTTAATACAATTGAGATTGTATAATTATTTTTCATTTTAAAATTAAATAACTAATTTCAATTTTATATTGTATCAAATAAACTTTTTATTTTACAGGTCACTATAAACACAATAGATATTTTATTTTAATTTGAAAGATAAGATCCTTATTTTCAAATATTAAATATATTATTTTTAATCTCATGATTATTTAATCTCATGAGTCCTTTTTTTCATTATATTTTAATTTAATTAAATTTATATAATTATTGTTCATTTTAAAATTAATAACTAATTTCAAATTTAAATGCGTATATAAATACATTTTATATCGTATCAACTATATATATATATATATATATATATATATATATATATATATATATATATATATATATATATATATATATATATATATATATATATATATATATATATATATATTATACCGTATTAATTTAATAATGACCCATTTTACTTTAACTGCTATTCAGATTATCTACAAGTTTAAAAAAAATTCATTAGTTTTTAATGTTCAAGGTCTGAGTGACGACTTCTACCTTAGAATTGCAAACATAAACATCATAACATTAGACATACTTAGGTTTGCTTCAATAATACAAGATCATTCTTAGGGGTGGTTTTAATTGATTTAAAATCATAATTAACATTAGAGACTTTATATGTTATTATATAAATAACGTTATACTTGTCAAAATGTATGAATGTGCATGGTATTCTTATAAAGGTAGATGATACTTAGAGACCTTAGTAGAAGTATATATAGAAACCTTTTTGGTGGTTTTAGAGGATCTGCTCATGTGAGATGAGAGACTCTATTATAAGTGTTATGCTTTGGGTGGTATGTGTAAGTTATCATCCGTCTTCCTCCTGTCAGGGGAGAACTATATATAGGGGCTTTTTGGGCATATGGTTTAAGAAACCCTCAGAGGCAGTAACCGCTCCCTCGTGACTAAGGGAGACTGTTGATTATCTATTTTCACGAGAGTCGTGGTGTGACTCATTCTCATATGACTAACAAGAGATAAAGATATTATACATGTCTTCTTCTATAAAGGAAAACCCCCATGTTATGTGAGGATGTCGTCTGAGCGACATCACTCTTGGAGGGAACCTTAAAGTCACCCCTTCTTGAAACTCTCACAAATATAACACTACACAGCCTCACGAGCACGAGGCCTTGTAAAAGCCAAGTGTTTTTAAGGCTTCTTTCGCTCGAGAAGTGAGTCCCTCAGCTTTGAGGAGAGTCCCTCAACTGAAGGCATCCTTTTTAATATGAGGCGAGTCCCTCAGTTGAATGTGACCTTTTCAATGTGATGCGAGTCTCTCAGATTGGGGTGAGTCCCTCATCTAAAAGAGACTTTTTCAGTGTAAGATAAGTCTTTCAGCTTAGGGATAGTCCTTCACTTGAAGGAAACTTTTTCAATGTGAGGCGAGTTCTTCAGCTTAGGGAGGATCCTTTAGTTTAAGAAGACTTTCAATGTAAGGCGAGTCCCTCATATGAAGGCAAATTTTTCAATACGAGACGAGTATCTCAGGTTGGGGCAAGTATTCATCTCTAGCCAAGTGTTTCCTATATAACTAGGCGGTAGTGGGATATATCAAGTTTCAACTTGATTGAACTCTGAGACATCAAAACATTAATAAATTATGAAACCTTGAGTGCTTTAGTGGAAAAAGTGTGGGTAACATTTAATGAAACTTATGATGCCATTCTTGGAAAGACCAATCTAGCCTCTTTTCCTTACACACTTCTTTCAATTGTAAGAACTTTTCCATTTCTTGTGGCAATCATCCCATTAGGTAGATATATGGCTATTAGGTTCTTACAAGAAACTAATATATCATCTAAAAAACCTTTTCTCTTCTTATTTTTCACTTTCACCTTTCCAAAAAAACATACAGGCCTTTGATAACAGTGAAGAAGGTGAGAAATCCATTTTTCTTCCTAGGGTAGAAACATTGTAATTCCACCCAAGGTAATAATGGGCAAGAAAACCAAACTTAATCACACTCGATATATCGTGTCCTTGTACTCCAACGTCGATATGATCAACGGGTTTTAGTTGAATTAGATTTTCCTATATAAGATGCGAGGATGATGTGATATTAAAACCCTGTTTAGATAAGGAAAATGACAACATGGATACCTCCAACGAGCCATATGCTCTTTACTTTTACCTCCACTTTCATCTTATTCACAAGCTGGGGATTTTAGCCTACTTTACTTATTTTGAGATAGATTTTCTGACGACTGTCAAAGTCGCCCTTTCTCAGATTACCCAAAATATATGAAGTATGCTTATGACTTTTTAGATAGTCTTTTGTAGCCTAGGCGTGTCCCCTCGTTGGGAGTGTGTTCCTTTCCTTTTTTAGTAAAAAAATTCTTCCCAATAAGGGCTGGGTAACGTTGCGCCCTTTTCTAGAAGATTATTTGCTGAAGCCCTTTGCGAACCCATATGAGGAATGAGAGGATATGTGTGTGCGAGTGAAAAGGCAATGTGATGCCTTTCCGATGACTACATGGGTGCAAAGTGACCCTCTTTTTACTCTCTCGTGGATTTCAGATCCTTGGATTATACAAAGGGTGGACTTAGGCATTCTTCCCCCATTTGACCAGGAAGTGATATCGATTTTGAAATGTTTTTAGATTCTAGACTCCCGCACTCTCATTACTCGGGACTATGAAGACAACAATTGGATAAAAGATTATTTAGGTATGGATTGCGGTACAAAAGAATACATTTTAATATGTTCTTGTGCTTATAACTTTATATGTGCTAACAACATTCTATTCTCTATAAAGGATATGAAGGAGGCCTCTCTTGATGAGAGAAGGGAATGATTGGTTTGGATGGAGGTTATGCAATAACAGGTGGGTTTTCCCCGCCTCTGCCTTAAAGTGTGGTTGTTGATGGATGAGCAAGTAAGTGGGAAACCTCCTGGGATGGCGAGTTGTTGATGGGCATAATGATACCCCAGAGGGCATTATGATTTTATATTTGATCAATAGTTGAGTTGTAGAGAAGATTAATTTAGTTAATAATATGCCTCGTTAAAAACTCATGCCCTTGTAGGAAAAAATGTGCCATTATAAAAATTTATTGATATTTTGAATCGGAAGTAGAAGAAAATAAATAATGGTGGTTTATATCATCATCTTACACTACTAGAAAGAAGCATTTTAGCCTCAGTTTTTTAGTGTCGGCCCCAACACCAACGCTATTAGCGTCGGGGTTGTGTAACCTCTACAAACGCTAAAAGATTAAATTTTTTAAAAATAAATAATGTCGTTGATGGAAAATTTCAGAGTCACCATTGATGACGCGAAATTGTATTGTTTATTTGGCTTGATTTACATGCATTTATTTGTGACTATTGTTAATTTATCTTGATTTATGTTCTAATTTACGGTTAATTTACTTCGTTGTGCAGATTGTGGAGAATTTGGATTAAAGAAAGAAAAGAAGAAGAAATGGAAGGAAAAGAGAGAAGAAAAACAGAAAATAACAGAGAAATGGATTTTATGCGTGTGACACTCGTCACAGCTT